AGCCGGCGTGCGTGGAAAGGGCTGTGCCGCCCTGCCCCGCGGATGTTTCCAGGGGAGCAGGCGGAGGCCTGCCTCTGCCCCGCTGCGGGGCGGGCTGGCTGCAGGCCGAGCAGGGGATGGGGTGAAAAATAAAAGAAATAGGTGGTGGGGGACTCATCTCGGGAAACCCAGGCTCTCGTTTTTAAAGCTGCTGAGCAGCACCAAGCGGTTTCTGCCCAGGCTGTGGGCACCCAGGGGTTTGAAAAGCTGGGCTCCAAGTTAGCACCAAACAGTGCCCCTCAAATCAGGGGACCCAGCTGGAGCGATGATGGGTTGCAGATCTGTGCCCTCAGGACGCCTTGCAGGGAAAAAAAGAGCCCTGTGACATTAAAAGAAACCTGTACCTTGCTGGGAGGCTGGCTGGTAGATGATGAAAAGGGAGGGAGGGAGAAAGAGAGGGAGGGATGGCCAAGAGAAGTAGAGCAGCCTGGTGTGGCAGTGCTGTTTCTTCTCGCTATCCCTTTTCTCTCACTGCTTCCCCAGAAGGTGGGTTGAGGGACACCTCTGGGCCCTGTGATATCTGCCCACTGATACGTTAGCAAACGTGACAGAAGTCCCTGTGGCAGATGTCCGCTCCCAGCCATCAGCCCAGACAGGACAGCTGTAATACCACCAAGTCTCCAAAATTTACAAGACAGTGTAAAAAAAAAAAAGTGTTTTATTTCATTTTTGTTGCTTGCTTTCTTGATTTAGACCTCTGAAGCTCAAATTTTTCAGGCTTTTCTCAACAACACTCAGGGGATCAATTTACTTTTCTTTTTGTGCAAAAGTTGAGATTCTCTGTGAATCATACTGGGTTATCCAAGTGGGAGAAGCTTCACATTCAACTGATGGCTGCCAGCAACACTAAAACCCCTTTGTGTTCCCTCGGTTAAAAGCTGGCTGGCCTGACAGTTTTGCTCAGGCATGTCCTATTTAATGGAGGATTCACAAGAGAATTGTTATTACAGGATGAAATTAACATAAACAGCATTTGCAGGAACAACGGTAGTATGTCCATCACAACACACTTGAAGGTTTCTTTAGAAACACACCAAATACTTGGGTTTAAATCAGACACTGTTTGGAATGCCTTTGGTCCAGCTCCATCTTCCCACGCTGACTTCTCCGACACGCAGTCACAGCCAGTACTCTAAGCCAGTAACTCGGTCCCTGTTCCTCTTGATCTGCCAGGTGCCTTTGACTTTACTGGTTATTTCCTCTTCAAACTCTTGATTGTTTTTGACTCCTCTAACTTCTTCCTTTCATAGATATTTTGGTTTTGCTCACTAACGCTTTGGCAGTACTTCCTTCAGAAGACCCTCGCAATCTACCTTCCAGCTTTCTACTGAAGTGCTATGTTGCTCTGCACTTGGTCCCAGTGCCCTTCTTAATATGTAGTTTACTTCGAAGTGATTCCTGCTTGGTAATCCCAGGTCTTCCCACTCTCCCAATCCATTTCAGAGAAGAAATATTTGCCTTTTAGGTTCCTTTAGCCATAATCCCTCTAGCCTATCCTGCTTTCGCTGATACAGGTGTCACCACATCAAAACTAGAGCAGCAAGTGGTCACTCAAGGAATGGGTTGTTCCTCTTGGCGTTGTTTGGTCAGCAGAGTTTTGCAAGTCAGATGTGGAATTTCTTGAAGCAGTTATTGTGGAGCATCCACATGCAAAGATGCAGATCACAGCATTTATTAAAAGCACATTCAAGAAAGCCATATGACAGTAGCATGATGACAGATTTCCTTATGGTGTGGTGGGGGCTTTTTGGGGCTCCTTTTTGCTTTCAAATAGAAAGCAGAAATACTCATGCCTCTCTCAGCTGAATTGTGCTTTGTATGTGTTTTAATGGATATGGAATTGAGTCTTTACTGGATACTGAAGTACAATTCCATTATCTGAAGACTCTTAAAGATATGCAAAATCGTTAAATAAGGTGTGCTATAATCCCTGATCCTGTAGCTGAGGGAAGAGGTGTCAGCCAGCTAGCGAGAGTGGCACGTGCTCGGTACAGCGGTAACACAGCTGGCAGGGCTGGGTGCTACAGGTGGGGGTTTGGGGCTGCTGCAGCTCTTCCCACAAAGCAGTGCTTTGTGAGTACCTTTGTGTAAACCCAGACTCTGCTCCAGAGCACACCTGCTAGTTTTGCAGATAGGCTACCCGCTTTAGCAGTTTCCCCTTCCACCCTGGTGGCATAGATGAGCTTTACTTAAAATGAAGTTTAAGTAATCAACTTTCGGTGAAAAAGGATTTGTTCTACACTGAAAAAAAATACTTTGGGGAATACATTTTACCTATAAACACTGTGTGCATATAGCCACAAAGATACTGAATTCCTGTAACTTCCTTTCATGGTGTATTAGGATGATAGGAGTCTGGCTGCTCAGAAAATGAAGCCAATGCTCTTTCTCTTCTCACCTCCACTATCTTTTTGAATATCTGGATATTCTGTACTCAGCCCAAAGTTCTGGTTTATACAAGGCCAAAGCGAAAAACAACAGATTATCTTCCCTCTGCTCTCAGAGCATTTTCGGCATCTTCTCTGGGAGAGATCGGAACAGCCCCGGGAAGTCATTGTTGTCACTTCAAACGTGGCTGTCATCCAGGCAGCAGGCAGAAGCGCTGTGAGCTCGAAGCTGTGGTAACTTTAGTAAGTGTGACATTCACTGGGCAGAATGTGAGGTCCTGTTGCAATAACACACACATATTTTTTTGCCTGTACTACCGGAGGGAGAGACAGTGAGGCCGTATACTTCAGCAACTATGAGCCAGCACATCGGGAATCTCTATAGATCTGCAGTGTCTTCATTCCTCCTCTTCTTGCTAGTGGGTGAGTACTAAACCACCTTCCTTAATTAGAAGAAATACAGCTTATTCCTAGAGTTTGGCTTGAGAGGTTCTCTTCTTTATTTCAAAAAGCAACTTTCCGCTGAGGGCTTCCTTAGGATGCAGGAAAACTATATCTAGTAGTGTGCACTGCATTAAACCATACTTTTCCTTATAGATACATTCCTGTTTAGCTAATAGAAATGTTCAGAAAGAGTATGTTTGCCTCTCTTTTTCAAGAAGAAAGGCTGTGTATCATCATTGCTAGAAGCTTCATTTCTATTTTGGTTCTCTGATGTATTAGCAACCGGTTATCGTCACAAGGTAGTTATTCATATCCATTTGTGAAAGCCAACCTCAGACCAGGGCAGAAGTCACATAAATTAAGAAGAGCAATGTGCAGTCATTGATCACTTAATCATAGATGACTGGGAGCTGGATACAGCTTGTATAGCACTCTCATGGCACCAGCTGAGTGTGAAGTTGAGCTCTAAAGCAAACAAAACCATCTGAAAGATGGTCATTCCAGCATGAGAGGATTTTTATGTGGGTTGGAAATCGAGCCCTGTTTGCCCTCAACCTCTCCTCCATCTATTGAGTGTGAACAAAGGAGAGGAGGCTCAACTAGAAAGGTCAAATTTTGCACTGACCTCCACCCACCATTTTGGTTCACTGATGCTGTTGGCAGCTGGCAGAAGAAGTTTGCAGGGCTGCTCGGGTTTACTCCAGGCACCAAAGAGTAAGTTAGAGGCTCCAGGACTGGAAGAGAGCACAGGTATATTTTATTCTTTCCTTTTGTCACCCCACCTCCTCTAGCCTGCCTGTGTTTTCTCATTCACAGCCAACGATATGGCCTTACATGGGAAAGTATCAACCTGCAGATTACGTAAAGGGGAGGCTGATGGATTAGTAGGTGCCCTATTAGTGCTGGCAAATGTGGAGCACATTGTCACATTGCAGGGAGTCCCAGAGAGCTTTCTCCCCTCATGGTTGAAAACTGGCCGTGAACTACCGACTTCATATGACAATGACCTATTAGATCATCTAATCATTTTTCCAGGTCAAGACAAGATCATCCATGCTGTATTTCTCTGTACTCTGTCTAGCTCAAGTGCTTTCACCAAAAAGCCTTGCATTCCTCTCCATCGGGGATTGAGCCCTACAACCCGCACGACAGGGGACCTACACATCATTCTGCTAATGAAGCGATTGACTTAAAAAGAGCTTTGAAGCAGAGTCAACAAGGCATTTGGCATGGTATGCTCCCAGATGCCAATATGATAAGGGCATTGTGTATTTGAATACCAGTGAACTAGTATGTTCCAGTTTTGCAACCTCACAAAAGAAAAAGAAAGAAGGAAAGGAAGAATGAAAAATAAGAGTCTGTGCTGTGATGTTCTCAGTGAAGCCCCCAAACAGAGCTGGGGTGAAACAATACAGCCTACTCCTCTTGCGTTTTGATTTTTCTAATTAGCTGTAAGTTACATGATATGTACTGAATCAAAGATGGGGGATAACACAGATGACAAGGCCAGTTATTTCATGATAGGAGGTGCAAATAAAACTCGTTTTGAACAGATGCAACATCAAAGCACATTGTTCCTGCTTGGTTTTGTTCTCTATGCCACTAAGTGACTGTGTAAAAATGATACCTTTTACATCACTAAAAGGAATAAAAATTATAATTGTGTTGCAGGGGGTGTGTATGGTAAGGCTGGAAAAGCTATAGTGGAGAAGAAATTCTGTGGCCATTCCTTGAAAACAAGATAGCAGTAGCACATACTGCTCTAACTAAAGCAGCAGTATCCAGTGGAGATAATGGTTAATGAACAGAGATTTTAAAAGAATACTCATGACAAAACTGCTCAAATTCACTCTAACGAATAACCAAATATATCACATCAGGATATTTGATGCACAAAGACTGTAATATGTCAAGCTACCATCAGCTGTGTCAAGTATTTCAACTATACTTTGTACTTCACCAAAGTACATTTCAAGATACTTCAACTTTTATGACTGCTGCATTGATACACTGTTACCTAACTGGAAAGGGAAAAACTGGACCTCAGATTCCCCCAAGAAGCTCCAGTGGGCTCATCAGTAGGATTATGTATGAACATGAGGATAATATTTCATCCAGTATCTTTAATAAGGACTACTCATTTTAGGGGACTGGATCCAAAACTAGAATAATATTTGGGTACCTAATTCTCAGGCATCCAATTCCCATGTATCAGTGTTCCAGTTACAAGGCCAAAATTTTTACTTTGAGGTAAAAGCACGGAGTACCAAACAGCTCTGAAGGGGTTTCATATGCTAAGTTGTTGCCTAGTTTCATAGCCAGCTTGTATTTTCTATATTTTTGCATCCATGAGTTATCTCTCATGTGATATTTAAACTGTAAGCTCTATACACCATCCTTTTATAAGGCACCTAGAACAACAGAGCCCTGCTGTCTGACAGAAGGTGTCAGTGCTACTCCCATACGAGTCATAAATAATAATAATTATGAATACAACTGTGATTGTCACATTGTGTACATGCCTAGAAGAGCCATTCAAGTAACTCTCAAACCGATCATTAAGGGGTATGGTTTTCCATTCCCTTGAGAGATTTGTCCCTGAGCATAGAGAGGCTATTGTCATTGTGAAGCTTAACCAGACCTAGACAATAGCCTTTCACATTGCCTTTGGATGGCAATGAAAGACTCAAGACAATGGAAAATCAAGACCTTCACTGTGGAATGTTCTGCAGTACTTGAGAGGGCACGGAGTAGTATGAAGGGAGACTATTTCACTTGAAGAAAATAAAACAACAGAAGAAACTCTTCCAAAAATTGGTCTGAACTCTTTCTTGGTGACAGCTGTTGGCTTATTTTTAAGAGTTTGTTTTTCCCTCTTTTTGAGACAGCAACTATTCCTCTCATCTTCTGAGCCCAGGCTTGTTTCCAGAAATGAGGCCCACTCACACTGCTCTTAGCTCAAGGCTGTTTGATACTATGATTAGCAGCTGAGTGAGAGAAGGCAGGTTTAAATCTCTACTACAGGCATGTTGTCCGTATTTTTCTAACAAAGAGTAACAAGACAATGTGGTCCCTTCACAGACAACAGATGTCACCCTCAGTATTGATACCCGCAGAAGGCTAAGGTGCCGCCCCCCAGGTCGCTGATAGCATCTGCTGGGGGTTCAGTCTCTGGCAATGGAGATTCTTCCCACAATTTCAAGATTTCCTATCCTGAAACTGGAACTGCATGCCAAAACTTTTAAGAAGCTCACATTATGTTTTGGGATGCAGGCAGTTGCATTAGGATGCACACATATTCACTGTATTTGTTGGAACAGAGCTGCTTGTGTGTAAGTGTACATGCATTTTTTGCTTTGCCTCAAAAGCAGTTGAGGCGGGAACGTCAGGCCCTGAGACTTTTTGGTGTGGGAAGAAAGAGGTTAGTGTTCCAGGTGGAAATGCGGCTGAAAGAACTCTAAATTTCACCCAAAGCCATTAGGCAATGGCATTAGTCTTCCTCTAGTATGGCAGTAGAAAGGAACTGAGGATCAGGAAAAGACCTATCTGTACACATGAACATAATCTAAGCAGGAACTAGGAAGAAAATCCCTATCGTCATAATAGTGACTACCCTCAAGTCCTAATTCCAGGAGCCATTCTTTGTGCTGGTTAGAGGTCAGGAGTAGCTGGAAGGTTTATCATCCTATCACCCTTAACCCTCCTCTTCTTTCTCTTTCCTGGTACAGATGTTGGTGTTAGTGGTGGAAGTGCAAGCAAGGAGAATGCAGCTGGAACTCATATAATAGCACAGCCTTCGTTGTTGACAACACCTGAGCCATGGCACCTTTTGGTGACTCAAACACCAGCCAAGGAAAAAGCCAAAGAGGGTGAAACTGTGGTCTTAAATTGCCACTTTAACAGTCCACGACGTCCCTCCCTGACTGACCTGATGGTGAAGTGGTACAAAGAAGATGAAAAGGGGCAGATGGACCTGCTAGAAAACAATGTGACCGTCTTGCCCAATAACTCCAGGGTTTTCATGAGTGGAGACTTGTCCCAAGGGGATGCCTCCCTCGTGATCCTCAATGTGACAACCAGTGACCACGGTATTTATTTCTGTGAGGTTACACTTCCGGATGGGAAGGTGGTGACAGGAGATGGCACAAAGCTCAGGATCAGGAGAGCTCTGGGTAATATTTGACGTTATTTACTTCTTTTCTCCCTCTTTCTCCTCCAAAGCGGGTCTACACGCTTGCGGAAAGAGGGAAGTTGTCCTGTTTGGCCTCTAGCAGGTAGGGCCTGGTGTCATGGAGTGTAATTGCTCTATAGCATTTCTCGCTGTTTTCGTTAGGCCAGCTAATTTTGATTGGCTTGCCTCTATAAACAGTCACACAGGTATTATTATCAGGAGGGGCATTTACAACCAAAAAAAGAAGGAATAATTTTATCACTAAAATCAAAGTCAGTGCCAAGAATGAAACAGTTAGATAAGTTCTCTTGTACTCACAGCTCTGTTTGGCAGAACCCCCATGAGTGACAGGTGTCGAGATACCGTCTCGGGGAACAGCTCCAAACTCCTTCTTTTTGACATTATTTCTTTCCAACCCACTAACTTGCATATTCATTCCTTAACTCTGGATGACATAAGTAATCCCACAATAAACACGAGGATCACATTGTATTGTTTCTGCTTAACTTCATTCACATTAAAATCAAAGTGGCAATAAAAGTGCCATGCTATGTTTTCTTAGCCTCACAAATAGACACTAGGCATATTAAGTAAGGAGATAACTTGCTTTGCCTTTATCAGCTGGAAATGTCAAAGCAGCTTTCCTTTTTATGTAGGCTAAACACATTCCAGTCCCAACAAATCAACACATCTGAAGGTTTATTATCTTATTATCTAATTAACAAAAAATAGCACCTTCTGTGTCAAGAGTAAATTACTCAAGTGCCATTTCTCCCTTATTCATTACCAAAGCTTCTAGCTCACCGAGATTCACTAAGCCTTTGCCCTTCTGAGCCTGAGTTCTTCCCTTACTAATTTTTATAGAACTACTCAATTTAAACCGTAGCACTAACAAGGCAAGAAAACCGTGCCCCCCTGCAAGGGCTTGGTCATGTGTCTGAGGAGGTCTCCCGTTGGCTTGATCTCATAGTCTCAGTAGCGCAGGTTACTCCTGCAATGTCTGCACCCTGGCCAGTGTAATTGCCTTTCTGTGTTCCCGAAAAGATGAAATACATAATTTCTGCACTACGCCTGAATTAAAGGGACAAGAGAATGTGAGAAATATAATTCATAAAGAAATGTTATGTGCCACAAATCCAGACTGTTCAAAAACTTATCTAAAATTAAAAGGAGAAATTAGCTGACTCTGTTAACATGTCCATTACGGGAAGCAAATGACGTGTATTTTGGAGTAAGGTAAGTAATGGTCCTACAGCACCTTCATTGCCCTTGCCTTCCTGACGAAATGAGCAGCCTCACAAATGGATTTAAGCTACAGGATACCTCCCTGTATGTGGGAGAAGGGGGTGGTTTTTCTACCGATGACCTACAGCTGGTTTGCCGGTGAGTTGCTGGATGCCCACCCATTTGGCTAGGTAGCACTGAGTAGCAGCTACTCCTGTGAATGGATGGCCTGATGCTTGGAAATCTGTGTGTGAATACAGTAGCAAAATTGTCCAAATTTTCTAGTGAAGCTTAAATACAACCACACAGAGATATGTAATGAATGCCTGATCGTACTGTAATTGTAGATAAAACTGGAAGGCTTTTAAACCATTCTTTTATTACCCTTCCTGGGTGAGTCACATGGCAAAATGACTACCATGAGCACGAGGCAGTCACTTAAAATCTGATCAGATCAGTCTTGCGCCATTGCCCAGCCAGTTCCCCCTCTCTAAAGAGACACTCCTACTCTGCAGCCGCGACGCTACAGGACAGATGCTCTCCATGCTACATCCCATAACCCTTGTAACAGTCCATCCTACTGTGCTCACCTGACCAAAGGCTCTTCCTGAATCATCCTTCAGTCCTGACAAATTAAAAAGCCAGAATGCCGACATGCTCTTATCTCAAAGAAAATGGGATTATCCCATCTCTGACGTGCAACAGTCCCAAAGAGCATCAAATCATAGAAAGGACTTCAGTGGAGCTCTGCCCACCCTCTGGTGCTGTCTCCTTTGGAGGTAGACAGGGAGACTGATGACTTTCTCAAAATTGTCAAAGTATTTTGTTCCATTTGAAAATAAAGCATGCAGGCATGAGTCCCATTAATTCAGGCAGCAGCATCTTTTGCCATCCCAACAGCATCCAGCTGTTAAGGGAGATTGCTAGGGAGATGGGGTTGTCCTATCCCTAAATCCTCAGAAAGCATAGCAACTTCCTACAAAGGAATGAAAAAAATCAATAACTCCATAGTGCGATACACCCTCTCCCATGTAGAAGCCCATGATTTCATGTCAGACAAGACATTGGCATAATCGATACCATAACAAGTAGCTTCCTCTGCAGCCACTGCAGAAGATGTGCTGGCTGCATTGCACATTCTTGCTTGGATGACATCTTACATTACTCTCTCTCCCTTCCCTTCTCCCCCAGGCTTGTTTGGTATAGAAGAATCCATTGGAACCATCATTGGGGTTGTGGCAGCTGGTATCGGAGGCGTAGTGGTTCTCATCATTGTTTTAACCCCACAGCTGAGGAGGTGCGTCCTCTGCATGAGACAAGGCTCTCGCCAAGGTAAGGAACACAAACCAAAATCTGTAATCCCTTGCTAGAAAGATTAATCCAATCACCTATTTCCAAAGGTACTTTTTTTTTAATTTAAGGAGGAATTAGCCATTTGCTTACCTCTGGTCAGACAAGGCATCTGGTTCAGGAAATAAGCAGTGTGGATGAAACTCTGACAGGGCTGACTCTATATTCCATCTCTTTTTTAAATAGTTCTTTGGGTACAGTTTCGTGCATGGGCCTAATGAGTTACCTATAAAAAAAATGATAGGATCTTCTTTAATTGCCACTTTCCGCAAAGAGTTGTTCAATGAGATGCCACTTCTCCTTTTAATGAAGTCCTGGGTCTCCTTCGGTTCTTTCAGGTTTATGCTGAGGGATGGATCTTCCTCCTACCACCCACATTCTTACATCCATATTCTTGTAAAGCTCGCGTACAGAAAGCCTATGGTGGCCTAAGTGTATGTTTGAGGTGTGGTTTGTAAGGCCCAGTAATATCTTTTATTAGATCAGATGATCAGGTTGGGAAAACTAGATGTTTTCGTCCCGCGTGAGCCAAAGAAATGACCCAGGAAGAGGCTGGTGTACCCGACAGCTCACCTGTTTTTTCCAGCTCTGTCAGCTGGTCTCATTAGAATAGACTGACACTGAAGGCTGGATTTTGAAACAAGCTTAGTTCCCATTTTGTTCAACCCAAGATGCGGTCTGCGTTTCAGACCGAGCTCAGCTGACTTTTTGCTTTCAGCGGGGAGCGGGGTGATTTGCACCTCTGCTCCCGGCACTCAAAAATCTCGCTCCGCCTGCTGAAAAAAATCCCATCCCTGAAGGGGTGAAGGAAGCGCTGGTCTTGCCGTTCACTGGAGCGCTGCCGCCACCTGATGGCCAGCGTGGCGGGGACAGGGACACGGCCAGGAGCTCTGCCCCGCTTACCGGGGGGGGGGGCTTCCAGCCCTTGCTGAGAAGCGCACCCGCACCCTCAGGCTGATGCTGCCAACGCAGCATCATCCCTCTGCAAGTCCTCTGCATGAACGGAGTTCACAACTTCCTTACTTTCCAGAAAGCCTTGGAAGAGTTTATTGTGTCGTACTAACTCTATCGCTCTGTCGCTCTCTCTCCTTTCCTTCTTGCTCACCGTAGCTTGAGGTGCAGCATTACAGGAGTCGCTGGAAGATGCAAAGCCTACAGGTGGAACAACTTCTGATGCCCTGTAAGCCAAAAATGGAGCTCTGGGTGGAATAAAAGCTTTCGCCTCAGTACATGCTGTCTTTGGCATTTTTATTTTTGTTAGTCTGTTTCTTTTTCCTGCAGCTTTGACAGCCACAGTGGCATATTCAGCATCCTCCTGCAGTGAGGAGCAAAACAGCCTCTTGTAAAGGAACTTGTATTACCACCTGCCAAAACCCCACTTAGTTTGGCCACATATCTCTGAATCTAGACTCCGATGAGGTACCTTGGGTCTTTCTCTGCCATTACTTCTTATTTCAAAGGTGGTACTCAAAGTTTGTCAGCTGTGCTTCAGAAGAGACAGAAGGAGCCTGACCTGCCCAGGCCCCCCCCACCTCCCCAGCTGCTAACACCTACCCAAGGAAATCAAATGCATTGCTTCTGGGGTGCAACCATGGCTCCCGTCTGTCTGCCCCTCTCAGTATAGAGGCTCTTGTCCTGTTGGCTTGCTCCAGCCTACAGGTTTGTAACGAAGGGGCAAAGAAGGCCCACTTGAACATAGCTACCCCTGGCTGAAAGAATGGGATTTTGGTTTACTCCCGCCAGAAGGAAACGCAGTGTTTCCATTTAAGCCTCTAATACCCTTAAAAAAAAAGGAGAGACGAAAGATTTGCTTACGTGACTAATGTTATCCACAGCCCCAGTTTCCTGACGTGACAATAACTGATTCCCAGGTGGTCAGTGACCAGGGGATATGCCAATACCTGTATAGGAGAGCAGCATATCAGCTCTGAAGCGTCTGTGGCAGGTAAGCAATATGTTCTTTTGCAAAGTATGGCTGTGCCAACTAGTAAAAGTCAGAAACCCTTGCTGGCCTTGCACCGGCAATAGCCTGGTGTAACTCTGCTTACCTTTGAATGTACCTCAGAAGTGTCCCCGGTGCTGTGAGGCAGGAACATGAGGGATAAGACAGCTGGCTATACAAGCTAAGAAACACAGGCACACACACACACACCACCCGCAAGAAAGGATGGAGCCCTGCCCTGGGCCAGACTCTGCTTTTCCTTTTGGTAGGAAGCAGAACTCCTCTGAGCACAAATAAGGAATAAGGAGGCATCCTCCCTCTTTGATGTCCCCACCCCTCCTGCAGGTTCAGGAGAATAAAGTGGGTCACTCTACTTCCAGACTGGCATGCCTCGGGTCTTCGAAGGCCAGCGTATCTTTTCACAGAGATGGATTTATTTATTTTTTTTTTAATTACAAACCAGTCCAGCAGAAGTCTCTACATATTTTCCAGATCATGTGCAAATGTGTGGGCGCTGAAGGTCAGGCAATGTGAAAGGACAAAAAAGCCATTTGGTGATGGGTAATGTGTTCTCACTGCACTGCAGGCCGAACCCTCCATTCCTGCAAAAGCAGCGATCAGAGCAGGATCTTATCCTTACTTCAGCATATATTTTACCCTGTTTCCCCTCCCCATAAACCCTGGCCTGACAGAAATTCTCTCACATCATTGTTAGCTCTGGTAAAAGAGGTAAAATTTTATTCCAGCACCTTCAGATTCAAAGGGTTAGAAGAAAGGTCCCAAAAAGACTATTCTGCCCCCCCATATCTGAAATGGCAGGTGGGATGAGTCTGTCCACATAAAAAGTCTGGCCAGAGGATGAAGTGCGGGTTGTACGGGGCTGCTCCCCAACACTTGGCTGCTTCTTGGTCACACAGGCACACCATTTTTTCACATCTGTCTGTCAGGTTATCTGCAAAAGAAAATGTGAGCGGAGGATGAGAGATTCTGTATCGGATGAAGGCAAGAAGCAGTTTTAAGAGGAACAATTCCCTAATAAAGCAATTCTTAGGGAAC